TTTGCACTTCTTTTATGGACATGACTTTTCCTCCCTTGGTATGAAGGGTTAATCTAGGACCTTTGCCTTGAGTTATATCCCCAGCCCTTTTTTATTTTTTATATTTTATTTTTAGACAAGGTCTGGCTAAGGCACTAAGTTGCCTAGGCTGGGTTTGAACTTTTTTTTTTTCTGTTGAAACAGGGCCTCACTATGCAGTTCAGGCTGGTCTTGAATTCACTGTGTAGCTCAGGTTGGCCTTGAACTTACAGTGATCCACCTGCCTCAGCCTCCCAAGTACTGGAATCACAGGCATGTGCTACCATGACTTGGCCTGGGCTCAAACTTGTGATCTGAGGTACTCCTAGAGTGCTTGGATTGCAGGTATACAACACCATGCCTGGGCTAACATGCTCTTTTAAAATCATATACCACATATAACTGCTGATTTTTTTCCTGCACAGAGTGGGGCTGTCTCTTTAGTAAGGACCTGTTTAAAAGCAAAGGTGGCTGTAATATCGTGAGACAAAGGCACAGTGAAACCTTTAATAAACAGTGTTTCCAACAGCAAAGTGTGTTCTGAGTTGAAAATTGTTTCATCTTCTAATACTTTGAAAACTTTAGGGGCCACGGATTTAGCTCAGTGGTTCCACCGCCTGCCTTGAAAGCTCAAGGTCCGGAGTTTGATCCCCAGAACCAAAAAAACCCTGAAAATTTTAGGGCCCAATTACTTTTAGAAACAGTTCCATAAAACCAACAGATAAAATTTCCTGTGAAATGCTACACAATGTTGTACTGGCTCATTCATCCTCATGAACTTGAGTACTCACAATGAGCCTAGGCACTGACCTCAGTGATGCATCTACTTCAGAGTTCTGGGTAAGAAAATGCACTGGGGAAAACTTGGTCCTGATGATTCCAGGAAAGATGGCACCATATGGTTTTCTGCCTTTGTAATTTACAGACTCTGATCTCCATCCTGCTGGTTTCACTCCTTGTGTATGCAGAGTCCCTTTTTCTCTAGGGCAGAGTCTCCCCTGTTTTCACCATATAAAAGTAGTGACTCAAGATCTTTATACAGTTCTAAGCCCTCAGCCCATCATTTCACTAGCCAGAGTCCAAATAAAAATTGGTGAATTAAGTCAACTTTTATTTAGACATCAATATCATAGGACATTACCATGCTACAGTTTGAGAACACCAATACTAAGAGAAATAACCAGACTGAACACAGATAATTCTTTAAGCAATCACTAAACACTTGATGCAAGTACAAGACGGGGAAATGGAGAATTGGCAGGTTTTACAAAAGAATGATAACAAGAAAAAATACCATTTCAATTCAATATAGTAACCCAACACCACTTCTATCAATATTCAGAAAAAAGTTAAGATTTTCTTTGCTATCATTTTTAGTTATCAAATAATACAAGTATTTACCTTGTGCTATCAATGATATCCAAGGACTATATAAAGACAGCAACTTAAAGGAATAATGTCTTTATTCTGGATCATTCAGTGAAGTTATACTAATTAAACAGTTCTCTCTGAAGATTAATTCCTTGAAAGTGATCACCACTTTTGGCTAGTATAGGATCCACACAAATGGGTCCCAATTTAAGGAGAGAGACATTCATTTTAATATTTCTCAACATATTAAGTCCAAAATTTTAAACTAAATCAACTCATATACAGTATTTCTCATTGAGAAGTCTACTTGAATAATGAAATAATGTTCACTTGAGGTAATATAAGATACATAATAATTTATAATTAAATTAGCATCTCTTTTAATATCAGATTTTTTAGGGAGTACTGGGGATTGAATTTAGGGTCTTTATATTGAGTTATACTCTCTTTATTTCATTTTTAATTTTAAGACAGGGTCTAAGTTGCTAGGTTACCCAGGATGGGCTTCAACTTGTGACCCTCTTGCCTTATCTTCTCAAGAATGCTGGGATTACAGCCTTATGCCAAGGACTAACTTGTATTGAAAGGTTACATACAAATACTAGTAAATGGTAAACGTTTTTCAAGATGATTTTTTGTAGGAAAAAAAAGCAAGAGGGCTGGTATGGCTCTGATAAAAACATTTAATAAATATTGTAATGAGATTCTAATAGTGTTAGCTTTAGAGAATGTGGATATTTTTATCAGTTGTTAATTCCTCAATTATTTGAATTTTTCCATTGGAAGTCTAAACATTTGTGGCTTAGTATACAAAGGAGCAATTAATAATAGGTCATTTGTAAGAGCAAAGCAAGACATCAAATGAGAATTCTGAAGTTACAGTCTCATTTCCAGGGTTGTGCATATCTTCTCAACTGTCCAATAAAAAAAGAAAACCAAGGACAGTATTAGAACTATAGACCATAACACAGGTCTAAGAGTCTTCCCTCATTTGTCTTATTCTAGAACTAATGGTCCCTGATTCCTAAATGAAATAAAAATTCTTGTGGCCCATCTGTAGACAAAAAGAGCCATCTATTTTATTTTAAAATAAAATATTTTCTACAAAATTTCGGTTTTATTGCTTTTTCACTGCCAAAAATCAATGCCACAGTTAGGCTATTACAGAAGCTGTGGTTTGCAGAATTATAATTTACACTGTTATAATTTTAGTTTTTGTTGGGGGAAAATGTTTATAATTTTCCTTGGTATATAGCTAACACTTTGGCTAGTGCATATTTCTGTTACTGTCTACCATCTTAGACCATTAGAGGGAATTTCTTATCAGGTGGCAGAGAAAATGTCATATAATCTCACCTCAGGGATCTGCTGATTCTCGAGCTCCATAACATAATCTAAACTGCTGAGACCCTGGACCAGCTCACCTTCCCAAAGGTAGCAACAGGCTGCTCTCTTGATGCTCATAATGCTGATCAGTTCTGGAGACCAGGACATGGAAAGGAACCTGTCTGTCTTGGTAAAGACAGGAAAGAAACTAGCCTAAGCATACAGTGTTAAAATTCCTATTTGTCTTTGGGTCTAGAGCAGAGGTTGGCAAACTATGGCCTGAAGGCCAAATCTAGCCCATCACCTGTTTTCACAAATAAAGTTTAACTGGAATGCTGCCATGCCCATTTGTTTATGTACTGTTTGTGGCTGCTTTCTTTCTATGGCATCAGAACTGAGTAGTTATGGCAGAGAACATATGGCTTAAAATACCCAAATAGGTTAATCACAACCGTTACCAGTAGCTTTTCATGTGATTCACTGTCTTCTCCCTCAACCAGTACTGTGCCTTCATGGAGGTATTCTATATAGCTTGGCCAATAAATTTGAGAGACCTGAGCTTGCTTCACTTTTATATAGGACCAGTCAATAATGAACTGCTAAAAAAAAAAAAAATAATAATAATAATAATAATGAACTGCTAAAGCATTATATCCCTTTTAGGAATTGTACTGAAGGACAATACAGAAGGAAAGTATGCTGCACTGGCAGATTTTCAAGCAGTTCATTGTTTTTGTCCTTTCCATCTTTACGAAGAAAAGCCTCAGGTTGGTTTTTATCAATATGGGAGCACTGCTAATGGTTTATTCAGATGAATATAAGCTGGAAATAGGCAAGAATGTTGACAAAGAAAGCTGAGGAAGGGCAATGTAGGTGGGCCTCCTGAAAGACACACAAATTTGTGTCCCACATGAATTTTTATCAGTGTTCACAAGTACAGAAGTTTTGTGTATAGAACTACATCTGCGTCTTCCATCTCTAGTCAATTCGACGCTTGCTCATAGCACGAATAGAGCTGCCAAAGTCAGTAGTCACAGAAACTAACAGATTACTACTGGCTAGTGCTGACATTGTCAGCAATACTGACTAATCCAGAGTCCTTGATTTGTTACCATACATTGAGGGAACCAGTTAGTTACCTAATAACAAGCTAACTACATTTGGATTTTTCTGTTGTTGAAAGAACAATATTTTGCCTTCACTGGAATTGATGAGATGGATTTGGATAGGCCTTTTCTGTCTGCACCCCTGACACCACCACCATATATCTTTTTACAAATGCCTTGTATATCACCACTACATTATTACATAAAATGCCTTCAACCATCTACTCCACATAGAAACGTGTATCAGGTAAGTATTCTCAGATCAAAAAAACCCTCAATCTCATCAGATATCTACAGTCAATAAAAAATGGGCTTACAAAATGATGAAAGAGACCATTATGTGCTTGGATTTAGCATGAGTTATGGATACCACCTTGCAAGTTACGTATGTTAATTTCTAGGATTGTGATTATTTACTCTGCCCCAGCAAAACATGTAGTATCAGAAAAATATGGTATTATTTCCTACATAGCCAAAACACATAGAACTAAGAAACAAGAAGTAAAAATGTGAGTGGGTCCTCTCAAAGCTTTAATTTTTTTTTTTTTTGGTACTGGGTATCAAACTCAGGTCCTTGCGCCTGCAAGGGAGGCGGTGGAAACACTGAGCTAAATCCCTGGGCCCTAACTAATTTTTTTAATTGTGTTCCTAGACCTGTGGACTCAGACTCTGCTAGCCCAACTGGCATAATATGTATTGGGAAGGACACTACAAATTGGTGATTGGTCTACAAGGTTGGATTAAAGATAAAATTTATCTTTTTTCTTTGTGATTTCTAGGTTTTCTAAATTTTCTAGAATGATAATGTATATCTTATATCAAAATATAATTACTAAAGAAAGAAAATACATCTAGCCCCACCAGCAGATTTCATTGAAAAGTGAAAGCAAAGAGTTTGAATGAATGCAATGAGTTGCAAACAAAATGAAACATGATAGAATTAGCTTCCTGCTTTCTTTGGTAGCAATTCCTAGAAAGCATTTCAGAGAAATTACAGGAACATCTGAAATCTAAGTCTTAATCCTCACCTGTAAAATAAAGATGATAACTATGTATCTAGTAAGGTATATAAAAGAACAGCATAAACTAACATTTCTAAAGGTATGAGTTATTATTCTTGGGGCAAGTAGCTATGTGTTTAGTGTTTGCAAAAATAAAACAAGAATAAAAATTACTTACCTTTGGGTTAAAATATCTACAAGACTGTGGTTGGGAACCTCCAAATAGGGCTATGCGGTAATCATGTTTCTTTCTTCTAGGCCTTGTGCCGTCTACAAGTTCTTCTCGATCCTCTGGAGAAAGTAGATGGTACCTCATTCCACCTGTAGAAAAACACATGGGAACTCTTCAAGAACTTGAGGCACTAAGGCAATGCTTTGAAAAGGTAATGCCCAGACAAAACAGTGCATTTATTTCTGTAACTATGTTTCATCATCCCTAAGTGTTGGAGGACAGTGAGGGGAAAGACATAGGAGAAACGTTTAAGCACTTGACTCCTAACCAATTTATTATGCACAACAATCACCATTATTGACTATGTATGCCACCCATTTATTACATACAAGTGAATTACCTGGCTTCTCAAGCAACAGCCACCACAAAACATTATATTGAAATCCAGATCTCCTCAGTGGTTCTTAATCTTAACTGTACATTAGAATCACCTGGGAAATCTCTGAAACTATTCCTGGGCCGTACCACAGACCAATTAAAGTATCTGGTGGTAGGGCCCAGGCTCCTTAAACACTTGCCATTTAAAATACGGTTCAAAGAGCAGCAGCTTCAGCCATCTGAGTTTGTAGAAATGCTGGATCTAGACCCTACTTTAGACCTATTGAATCAGTAAGTTTGCAAACTTAACAAAATCCCAAGGAAATTCAGATGTACATAAAACTCTGAAAAGCACTGTCTTGAATGACTTTCAAATGCAGTGAGGATTCAGAATAGGATCTTTTTCCTTCAGGGCTTCCTTAATTTGGTCAGAAGCCACTTAATCAAAAACTGTTTAAGGTATTATTTCAAACTAGTGTGGGAGACATGGATTGCCTATCAACGTTAGACAGGAACCTAGGGAAAAAACTGGAGCCTGACCTCATATTTTATTCTAAATTCCAAGTCAATATAAACTGGAATATGCAATAAAACTCTCATAAATGCATTAAAAGAAAAATAGAGTAGTTTATGAAAAAGAGGCTCAGAATGGGAAAGTCTATAAATGAAAATAAAAAGGAGCCAAGAAAAAATATTTGGATAACTATATAAAAATTTATTTACTTTATGGCAAAAAAAAAAAGAACCAAGATAGTAATAAACTGAGAAAATATAAATGAAAAGTATAGAGACATTTTATTAATTAAAATTAAGACTAGCAACTGAACAGAATATTAGATGAAGTAGCTGAATACACTTCACAGAAAAAGAACTATAAATAACTCTGAACATATGAAAACATGCTTACTGCTCTATTGAAGGAATTTACAAATCAAAACCATACTTTTTTTCACTGATCAGAGGGTCAAGATCACAAACTGTCTGGAATACAGGATATGAGGACATGTGGTAAGGTGGCACCTTCTGGCACTGCTGGTGGGGGTGTGATGGGTATAACCATCTGGAGATTCACCAAAATTACCAATGTACACACCCTTGAACCTAGAAATTCCCCCTGCTAGGAGCCTGTCAGCCTAATTGTCAGCCTACTGTTAGGAAAGTGGTTAAAAAATTATGGTACTCAATAGCTACACAACAAAATATTAAATGTGACCATTAGGAATGGAAAAGGTTAATATGTTCTCTTGAAATGATCCCCAGGAAATAGTGTGAAATGAAAAAAAAAATGTAGACCAATACACAGTATGTAATACCATTTGTGTTAAAATGTGGATTTTTATGCATCTGCACAAAATTTCATACCTGTACTTTATGTACGTGTATACACAGTCTCAAGACTGCCTCTGGAAGGATACACAGGTTAACAGTACCTCCAGCATCAAGGGACAAGGGGGCAGGGAAGAGGGCTATAAGAAAGTCCTGCTTTTTACTATGTATTTATACCTTTTGAATTGTGTATAATGTACAGTATTACTAATTTAATACTGTATCACTTTTGTACATTAGGCTGCGTTAGGACTGAGAGAAACAGTATGGAGAATAGTTTGTGAAGGAAGGAAAATCATCAATATTTAGTATTTCCTTTCCTTCTAGAGTTTGAGGAAAAGCACTGTGGCATAAGAATTGCTACAGACGGGGATTCAGCTCAGTGGTTCTGCCACCTGCCTCACAAGCACAAGGTCCTGAGTTTGATCCCCGGTACCACCCCCCCCCCCCAAAAGCTAGAAACCTCAGAGGAGGCTCTAGGTCAGGGGTCCATGTTTTAGGTTAGAGGTTGGCAAACTTTTTTGGTAAAGGGTAGATAGTAAACACCATAAGCTTTGTAGGGCCCATTTGGTTTTGATGAAATATTCTGGATGTTTTTGTTTGTTCATTCATTTTGTTTTATAATCTTTCACAAAAGTGAAAAACGACCTTTAGCCCAAGGCTAGATTTAGCCTATGGATGGTTCTCAAAGTGTGGCTCCATGGCCAGCAGCAGCATCACCAGGTGGAAACATGTTGGAACTCCCAATGACTGGACACTAGCCCAGACCCCCTGAATGTGAAACTCTGGGGTTTGACAGCTACTGCTCCAGGAGAGTTCCACCCAAATTGAAGGTGGCATGTATAGTTTATGATCAAAATACCTGCAACAAGAAAAAAGAGCAAAAGAGAGAGATGAGGGAACTGTTTCCAATCAACAGGCCCCTGGTGAAAGTAGCTGAGTAGGGGCAACTGTGCTGACCCCAAAGGAAGCATGAGCTGTACTCCTTTGCTGATAGGTTTTTTTCCCCTCTTTTAAGAGAGGGCTGGAGAGACTTTGGTACTTTTGGACACTAAAGGAGCTCATGTTCTTTGGGCTTACTCCTTTGGGAGTTATCCCTTCCAGCATCAAGTATTATCATGTGTAAATTCTGGGCAAGAACTTGGCCTGGCTCTTTGTGGAGGACTTAAGTTATGTACCTTACTTTGGAACTTGTTTTCTTTTAGGTATAAATTAATTTGACTTATTTTATCCTACTTTTCTATCACTTTTTTCTGTTTTGCTTCCTCTCTGAAAAGGAACATAAGTCTGATGGTAAGAAGGCAACTGCAGAGCTGAAGAAGGGAGGCTGGAGGCCTTTGCCCAGTTACCCCCACCCAGGTCCCAGGGTTTTCCTGTGCTTAGTCAAGTGGGCAAAGAACAAGTCATTGTTCTTCATTAAAAAACAAAAAAGCTTCCTGTTTAAACAACCTAATCTCGCCACTTGAATTTCTCAAATAACACTCCAGCCTTTTTCTAAATCAATTTAAAATTCACATATCAACTAAGTCCTAAACCTTCAGGCCAGCTGGTTGTCTTCAACAGCTCATGCCATAAATGAAGAAAGAGTGCAACTCTCTACCCAGTGAAGCTGTAAGGCTAGAAACGTAACAGTTTGCAAATGGAGTGATAATGCAAAGTCTGATATTAGCACATATGAATCCAAAAGACAGAAGCCCTAATCTAAAGCCATTTTCTTGGTGCTGATTTTCTTTCATCCCTTGCATTTATTTAATCCTTCAGAGGTCACAGGTGAGCTGAGATATACAAACCCTTCTTACATATTAAGGAGTAACACCTGACCTATATATAACCTCTGTGAGGTTAAAGGGGTTAGTGGTCACCTGTGCACTACCTTAACACCAAGTCTACACCTTCGTTTTTAAGACACTAGGCTTTGGTCCAAGTAAATGTGTGAATTCACCTTTCCTATTTTTTTCTACCACTTAAATATCAAGGATGTGTCCTTCACTCACATTCTCTTTTTTCCCCTGGAAACCATATCAGGGTTCAAACACTGATAGTCTTTAAAAAAATTTTTTCACTTTCATTTGACAAAAACATGCCATGTGGTGTGTCATGGTTTTGGAATTACGAAAAGTTTCCATATTACTGAATATTCATGTAAAATATCTGTAGTAACTATAGAAGATTTCATTATATGAATATATCATAATATTTTTCCAATCTAGCAACAACATAGGGTTAGCTTACATATAGCATAAAAGAGATACTATTAAGTAGTAGCTGTGAGAGAAATCTAATGGATTAGCCTTCCAAACCAAGGGACAAATGACATAATAATCTCAAATGTATTACCACTCTTGAGGATACCTTAGGTGGGAATGAGCATGCTCATTACTTTTATGTATTGTATTTCCTTAAATTTAGGCCAGAATCCTGCTATACTCCAAATGAGATGGCAAAATGAATTAAGAGTTCAAAGCATATTCCAACTATCTTCTAAGAGAGGCTTTCTTACTTATTATACGTAAACTGAAATCTATCAGGCTGCCCCATTTGTGGATAACTGAACAATGAATGGAAATTCAAGAGACTGTAAGAGTTAACAGAAGTACACTTAACTCAGTATATCATAGTCATTATACTAGAAAATTACATATTCCATGCCTGTTTAAATAACAGCCTAAACTTACACTTACAGGAGAATGACAGATCAGACTTTCACAAACATCCTTTTGAGGGCATGGTTAAGATCCCAAGAGAATACAGTACAAAAATGGAGGAAATCAAACATCACAATGTAAGTAAGCATTAAGAGACCCTGGAACTCTTTTGAAGGCTTTCAGTAATAGCAGAAACCTAGAAATTGTTTTTACTGGCCCTATGAGGGTGAAAAAATAAGGTCTTGGACCTGGTCAAGATACGGAGTTGGAAATGAGATCTCCGCCTAAAGCTGGGTTGCTTGGATTGGTAGTTATACTTTTAGTGAAAGATGAGCTAAGAGAAAATATCTGCCTGATGGCCAAGGGAAAAAGTTGCCTGTAACTTGCCTGTATCAACTTCAGCTCCAAGTGGAGGTAGACTCTCTTCTTTGAGAATTTATGATGACAGCCCTGCCCTCATGCAAGTTTGATGTTTGGATTTATCCTACTTGCAAATCTAGGAAACTATAGACAAGAAAAATTCCAAGTAGTCCTCAACTGTTTTACCCTGGGGGACTTGGCAAGAACAAACACTGTTCTCTTCTTAAGGAAAACAGAGATGGGGCAGGGATTTAGCTCAGTGGTTTTGCCGCCTGCTGTGGAAGCGCAAGGACCCAAGTTTGCAAGTGCAAGGACCCGCGTTCAATCCCCAGGACCAAAAAAAAAAAAAAAAGAATAGCCTGGGGTACATAGTGAGATCCTGTCTCAAAAACAAAAACAAACAGAAAAAAAGGAAAACAGAGATGTGTAGGAATTCAACCCAAGCCTCCCAATATGCCTGGAGATTAAGATCAATCAAATATAAGTACACAGTCCAAAATTACAAAACACACAAGGAATTAAGCCATTGAGAATAAGTCAGTAGAACTCACAAACAGCAGTGTGTGTTCCTCAGAGACTTCAGATATTGGTTACTCAGTACAGAATATAAAACAGCTATGTTTACAGTGTTTGAAGAAATGAAAGAGCTGGGGTGCTGTTCAGCGGCAGGGTGCTATTCAGGGGCAAGGTGCTTCCTTAGCTTGTGAAAGGGCTCGTGTTTGATGCCCAGAACCACAAAAACAAAACAAACAATAAATGAAAGAAATGAGAACATGAGTAGGAAAAAAAGATCACCAAGAATAATGAGCTAAAAATAAATAAAAGGAAAAGACAATTCACAATGTCAACAACAAAAGTATCTAAAATAAATTTAAGAATGCAGAAAATGTAAGAAATTACAACTCCTCCAATAACATATGATAATTTAAATAAATTACAATAATAAAGAAAGGTACTAGACTGAAGAGAAACTGTATGTATGTATGTATGTATATAGATAGATATGTGGATATTTATTTTATCATGTTTCAATTCAGCGGGAAAAGACAAATTATTCAATAATAGCATTAGGCCATCCTATCCAACATTTAGAAAAAAAAAATTCACATCAAATAAATTTCAGTAACATGTAAGGCTTAAAGTGGGGAAAAAAAGAAATTCATAAATTATAAGAAGAAAATTTAGATAATTAGAAAAAAAAATTTGGGGAGTAAGGAAGACCTACCAAATACATCACTAAAGCTAGACACCATAAAAAGACCAGTTCAGACTTAATATAAAAACAACATGAGATTGGAGTTGCCATTTTAACACCTTTTTAAAAATTCCTCATCTTAAAAGCTATTCCAAATACCAAGGACAGAGGAAACAAAAACTCTACATTTGATATTACTAAGAGGCTGTTACCCCAAAACACAATTAATGGAGATAGCTAGCAGATGGAGAGTGTGTGATACCTAAATGGTTGTATAAGGAGACACCAGTGAAAAGCAAGCCTGGAAAGATCACAGAGAGATACTCCAGAAGGGGGTTGTGGAGATGAAAACAAGACAATTCTGGGATTCTGAATAAAAAAACAGCTGAACTCCTTCCTAGGTCTCCTTCCCCTACCATTAGATACCTGCCATACCTCACTCTGTGGGCAGAAAGAAAGAATGGTCTTTGGAGAACTGAATCAGATATTCCAGACTCAGGAAACAATGAGAAGAGCTGAACTGAAAAGTGGGGTAAAAAATATACCCTAATCCAGCTCCCAAATGCCTGCACCCAGATTATAACTCCTTGAGAAAATAGCTACAGATAGACATCTTGGGGCTCCCAATTAAAAAACTGACCTCTAATCCCATTATCCTGCAGTTTAGCTCATGAACTGAGATGCCTGCTCTATCAGTTCTGTAGTAACTCTTTTTTTTGGTACCAGGGATCGAACTCAGGATCTTGTGCTTGTGAGGCAGGCGAGGTGCCACTGAGTTAAATCCCTCGCCAAAATGAGATAATAGTGTTGTTTTTTTTTCAGTACCAGGGATTGAACTCAGGTCCTTATGCTTCCCAGGCAGGCGAGGTGAGGTGCCACTGAACTTCATCCCCGGCTGTAGTACTCTTATATGACTGACAGATAAATCCAAGCATTTAAGAAAATCTTCAAACAACAAAACTAGGACAAGAAAATTCAAAGGTAATACAGAAAACATAGACAACATAAGAAAATTTCAAAGACAATATAACAATTACTTTGGAGTGCTCAGATATTACAGTCATGTAATAAGAGATTAGAGAATAAGTACTGCAGGGCTTGGTAGTGCATACCAATAATTCTAGCACTTGGGAGGCTGAAGTAGGAAGACAGTGAGTTCAAAGCCAGCTTGGGCTACATAGTGAGACCCTTTCTAAAAACAAAAAGCCCCCAAATCCCCAAAAAACCAGGAAGGCGATGTAGCTCAGTGGTAGAGTGCTTGCCTAGCATACATTAGGTCTTAAATTCAATCCCAAGAACAGCAAAATAAATAAAATAAAGAGCTAGGAAGAAATTAGAGAATAAGTAGAAATTTGAAGAAATTAAAAACAGAAATAAAAGGTTTAAAAGGAAAATCAAGGCTATCTCCAAAGAGGGCTATGAAACATAGATGGAAACAGAAGAGGCCAAAAAAAAAAAAAAAAAAGATTAAAGACTTAATGACTAAAGAATCATAGTATCAATAATAAAGAATGAAGAAACCTATGACTGAGAATGCTCCAACATGACAAAAAAAAAGATGCATATATATTTTAAAATATCCAAATATCAGTGATTAAAGAAAAAGATATTACTTATAAGAAAAGCATAAAAAAAGATACAAGGATCAGATTGGTTGTAGACTCCTCAAAAGTATCACTGGAAGCCTGAAGATTATGAAGCAATGACTTCAACATGCTAATTGAAAATGATTTGCAACATAATTTTATATCTAGTTTAACTATCTTTACAGTGAAATCATGAGGGAGATCTGTCAAGTCTCCAAATATTTGCCAATCATATACTCTTTATCAGGAAACTTTTAGAAGATAGGTTCCATCAAATAGAATTAGGAAGGGAAAAACTTGGGATCCAGGAGTGAAAGGACTTCTAGGCTGTATGAAGGGAAGCCCTGGGACAAGAACTGAGCTTCAGGCCTACAGAACAAACAGTCCATATTGGAACTGGCAGAAGAAAGGCTTTATCCTGGATGTTTCCATGAAATAAAAGCAGTAGCTTGTTTAACTGTACAGGTAATTTATTAAGTGGCATTTTACAAAGGTGTTGAAGGCTTGGGACTTAGCCTACAAGTCAAGAAAATGAAAAAATAGATTAATAATTATTTCCAGGCAAAAAGAGAAATGCTGTTTAAGAAAGAAAATGTGATGACAGCACATTGTTAAATAAAAAGGAAACACCAGAAACAAAGTGTATGAAAGATATTATACACAAAAGTAGAAAAAGCCTAAGCAACTTTCACTTTCTACCACATAAAACCCTATAAAATAAGGGCTGAGGCTAAGACTCCTGCAGAGGACTGAGAACCCCTAGGGATTAATTATTTAGAAGAGCAAATTCTCCCTGGCTTCTGAGTCTGATCCATTTTAATGGGTTTTAAGCCCATGAGAATTGGCTTATATGATCAGGATATATATGGATATTAAGGCAACTTACTTATCACCATCTTAAGGCATTCAGGATTGTCTTGAATAAGTGGTTCAGCTTGTACCGTTTTACTTAAGAAATTCTTTGATATAAGTGGAAACCTGACTTTAGCAAGGATATCAACCATAAATGGCTGGCGATTAGGTTCATCATATTTCAACCACCTGACTGCAGCATCATAAACCTAAGGGGGAAAAAAGGCATAGTAAAGTTCTTAGATGGCAGAAACAGTCCAATTACCTATGTTTATTCTCACACTGAAGGGGGAAAATCTCATAAGGAGACAACCAGTTATTCCAGTATTTTATTAGATATCTGCTTTCAGCCTGAAACACTTTGCCTATACTTCTGAATAGTTCACAAACTGCTCTAGTGGGTCAAGAAGGTGATATGTTTTCAAGAAGTCACTACTACTGCATAGTATAATGACAGGGAAAGCATTAAATTTATAAGTTTTAAAACAAAATATAGTGTCCTTTTTGGAAGGAGGTACACTATACTGAGAAAAGTCTATTGGTCAATGACAGCTTCAACATATGCTCTTTTGATACTAGAAAAACAGGTTTTCCAAGAGGCTTTCTATCTCAGGAGATATGAAGTTCATTCATAGTTTTATTTCAACCTTATATTCCTATATTGTGATATTGACAGACTTACGTACTTTCTAAAAACTTTAAGATATAAAAATTCTAAATTTAATAATCATAGAATATTTCTATGACCATTGTTTTCCTAAATACTGTAGCACTCATTTAATTGCACTGAACAAACTCATGAACATAATTTACTTTATAAATCATTAATTTTAATACCTTGAAAACAAATTTATTACTTCATATACGTACATATCTACCATATATATGTTTGAGCTAACTAAATTAGTTAATTTTGAGGTGGTATTAATAAGGTTCAATTTTTTTTTTTTTTTTTTGGTACCAAGGATCAAACTCACAGATAAGGCCCAAGTTTTGATCTTTCTATGAGTTAAATTTCTATGGGAAATGGTCTTTTCAAAAAATAGGGTTTTATTTTAGAATAGTTTTAGATTTACAGAAAAGTTGCAAAGATAGTGCAAAGAATTCTCATATACTCTGCATGTAGGTAACATCAGTGTAATTGTTACAACAAGCCAATATTGTTAACTAAGGTCCATATTTTTTAAAAATTTCTTTCATTTTTATCTAATGTTATTTTTCTGTCTCTAATGTTATTTTTCTGGTTCCATGAAGGATACCATATTGCAATTAGTCATTAAATCATCTTAGGCTTTTCTAGACTGTGACAGTTTCTCAGACTTACCTTGTTTTTGATAACCTTGACAGTTCTGAGTTCTGGTCAGGTATTTTAATTTGGGTGTGTCTGCTGTTTTACTCATTAGACTAGTGCTATGGTTTTTTGGGAGGATAACCCTAAGGTGAAGTGCTGTTCTCATTACATGAAGTGTGCATGCAATCAACGTGACTTATCACTGATGATGTTAACCTTGACCAGAGGTAGCATACATAATATTTGACAGGCTTCTTCAGTCTAAAGTTACTTTTTCTTCCTTGTATATGAGTCAGTTAATTCTGATTACAGAATTGAGTTTTAGGGTTTGACATAGGGTCGTCTTGCTATGTGGCCCAGGCTTGTCATGAACTCAACTCCCAGATTCAAGTCACTGGCTCCATGTCAGCCTCTTGGGTAGCTGAGAACTGAGGCACATGCCACTGTGTGTGGTGTACTGAACTGAGCTTTTTCTTTTGGCCTAGTCAGATCATCCAGTCTAACTTGTCAGCTTACACTCTGATACTCTGAGCCAATTAGAAGACAGGGCAAAAGAACATGGCCCAGGGCAGTGGTGCTGAACCCACAGCAAGCTTGCCTTTGCATCACTGAAAGCTCTAAGGTTCACCATCACTAGCCTAGGGCAAACCTTTTTAGAACAAAAGCAACTCAAAGCACAGGATCTCATATTAGTGTACTAGTTTTCTATTGCTGCTGTAACAAATTACCACAAACAATAGCTTAAAATACAGAGAGGGATGTGGAGCTGAAAAATAAGGACTAAGCGAGTCTGCATATCAAAGTGCTTCCCCTACCAGCTCCCAAATGCCTGCAGCCAGCTTACACTTCTGACTATTTATCTGACAGCTATGTAGGTTAGAATATAAAATGGGTCACACTTAGCTAAAACCAAGGTGTCAGCAAGATTGCCTGGAGGTGCTATAGCTACAGGACAGATGACTTCCTTGCCTTTTCCAGCATCTTGCAGCTGCTGCATTCCTTGGTTTGTGGTCCCCCTTGACCTTCAAAGCCAGCAGTGGTTGATGAACTCTTTCTCGCAGGGCATCACTTTTCCACATTTAAGGACCCTTGTCCTTACACTAGACCCGTATGAATAATCCCCTCATCCCAAGATCCTTAATCACACCCTCGGTAACATAGGTTCTGGGAATTAGCATGTAGACATCTTCTTTTGGGGAGAAACTGTTTTATGGCACCCAATAGTTTTATCTCTACAAAGCAGCACATCTCTCAAACAGTTGACCCTCATAAGTACACTCGACTTATTTTTCCTTGAAAACAGCCTTTGGAATACTGTGTTAATTATAAAGATGATTATAATATGGTTATTGTAATATGACTCTTTCTCTTACCATCTATCCAAACATAGGTATAAAGAATTAATAAAGAAATTTTTACTAAGAAAAACGTGAGAAGGCAATTTAGTCACCTGATCCTCTGCTCTCACAGTCAGAGTGTCCTGGTTAAGAAGATGTGTAACTCGCTTGACATCAAGTTGTAGAAATTCATCGGTTTTGTAAACTTCAGTAAAATGCTGATGAATAAAGTCATCTGCTGTAGCTTTCAATTCAGGACAATCCAGACACTCTGCAAGCACACTTATACCTAAACACGGAAAGAAAAGAACACAAAATTGCTTTTAGAAAAACCAAATATACACTAAAGATAAAGAATGATTTCAGAAAATTTGAATTTTGTAAATCTGGATCCTTTTCTGTTCCAACAATTTGTCTATTCTTTTTTCGGGGGGGGGGTGTACCAGGGATCGAACTCAGGACCTTATGCTTGCCAGGCAGGCACAGCACCACTGAGCTAAGTCCGTAGCCCCACAATTTGCCTATTCCTATGCCAATACTAGACTTACGTTTGGCTAGTTTTGATATTGTGTAGGGCAAGCCCCTTTCAATATTTTTCAAACCTTTCTTGGCCACTGTTAAACATTTTCTCTTGCACATAAATTTTGAAATAAGCATTAGCTTTAAAACTCCTGATATAATTTAAATTAGGATTGCATAGAACTTTTGGACTACTTTGGGAACTTTTATTACTTCTGCAATGCAGAGAAGCTCTGTTTAAGAACATGACATATGTGAGTATGGTGGTGCATGTCTGTAATTCCAGCACTTTGGGAGGCTGGGGCACAAAGAATATAAATTTGAATCCAGCCTAGGTGACTTAGTGAGACCTTATCTCAATATAAAAAATGTAAGGGCTGGAGATGTAGCTCAGTGCACAGGCCCTGGGTTTCTTGTCTTTTTTTTTTTTTTTTTGGTACCGGGGATCGAACTTGGGTCCTTGCGCGGCAGGCGCCGGAACCACTGAGCTAAATCCCCAGCCCTAAAGCCCCTGGGTTTAATCCCAGGTAACATACACACACACACACAGAAGGAGACGTGATATATATAAAATTTACTAAGACATAAACTTATTCATATTTAGATTTTATAATGATCTCCAATATGAATAATATTTTGCTTCATACAAGTCCTGTATCAGTGGTGGTGAATGTATGGCACGCATTATCAACTGAAAGCTCTAAAAGGTTCGCCATCACTGCCCTATATATTTCCCACTCAGCCTTTTCCTAGTTATTTTACTTTATGCTTGGGAGGAAGTTTTGCCCCAACTGGCTACTTATGCTCTATATCAACAGTCTGCAAAGTACTGTCTACGGGCCAAATCTTCAACCTTTGGTATGTTTTTTTCTTAGGGTCAGCAGGTAAGATTTCTTTTCAACTATTTTTAAATAGTTGTTGACAAAACAAAACAAAACAAACCAGGAGAGGAAGACAGGAATGAGGAAAGGAAAAAAAGCGGATGGGTAAGATAAGACAAGGATCACATACGGCCCACAAAGCCTAAGTATTTACTATCTAGCCCTTTACAGAAAAACCTTGGCCAGCTCTTCTATATAAAACCACTAATTATTTTTGTGTATGACCTTGCAGCAGACCACTTTTCTAAGTATAAAAGCTGACTTTTCAGGGGCTGGGGATTTAGCTCAGTGGTTCTGCAGCCTGTCTCGCAAGTGCAAGGACCCAAGTTTGATCCCCGGTATCAAAAAAAAAAAAATTAAAAAAGCTGACTTTTCAAATGTTTCAAATTTATATTATTTTTTAAAACATCAACAACAGGTAATAAGCCAAGTGTGGTGATGCATGCTTCCAATCCCAGCACTCTGGGAGGTTGAGGCAGAAGGATCATTTTTGAGGCCAAATGGACAACTTAGCTGGATGCTCTCTCAAAAAATAAAGGGCTGGGTATGTAACTTGGTATGAAGGCCTTGAGTTCAATCCCTGGTATCATTAGAAAAAGAAAAGAAGAAAAGAAAAAGAGAAAGAAAAAGAAAATAAAGAGAAAAAAAGGTAATAAAATCATAAAAGTGCCTTCAGCATCTGTTGCTATGACTTTTGCTATGAGTATGTTTTCCTTATAGAAAATTTACTTGTTAGTAAATTATGAGATTTCTTGACACTGATGTCATCGAAACATATGGCATTTCTGAGTAAACAAAGTATTATTTTAATTAATGAGCTTTATGTTTTGAGAGTGGTTTTACGTTTAATATAGATACTACAACTGGGGGAATAGGACCATGCTCTGTCCACTCACCTGAACTTAGGCAATGCCCCAGAGCTAAGGCATTCAACCTTTGTCCTAAAGGAGGAGGAAATAAGAAGAACAAAGTCCCCTGGGCCCACTTTTGGTATTCCTAAAATTTTAGGCCAGGAGGCCTGGGTGCTAAACCAGCCATGTATTCAGGGCCCACACCACCTTTTCCTTCTCACCCAGGCCATTTTCCTTTGCACTGACATGAGAACTGCCTGTTCTAAACATTAATTTTGTCCTTTAAACTTTATTAAACTTCGCTCCTTTTCCCCTACTATTGTATGTAACATCCAGTTCTTTGTTATTCCACACAAGAATACAGAAACCAGTCCAGGAACCTATTACCCATGGTAACATCTTGGTGAACCAGCCAGGAAGGAGTAACACAGGCATGCAGACCCATGGATACTTTGACTCTGGCAAACTCAGTCAAAAGGCTTTCCATTTTTTTCCTTTCTTTCTCCCTGTCTCAAATCCCCATTTTTTTCTGACATTGGTTATCAGAGAGGCAGGAAACTGGAGGGTAGAGGAGCCTAGCGTACTCATCATCATGTGTTGAGGGGAGGGGAAGCATGTGGTCTCCACGTTTTTGAAGCCAGTTAAGATAGGCTCACAGGTCTTCCAGAAGAGTGCTTCTCTAGCCCTTCTCAGCTATCTATCACAACCTTCCAGGTTCGTAGGGCTGCTTCTTGATCCCCACCTATAGTTCTTTCCTTCTGGGGCCTTTTGGGGTTGCGTCTAATACTAGCTCTCCTCTGCTCTCTATTCCACTTGGTTCCATTATTATTATGATAATTTTAGCCTCAAGTTTATTTTCCTATTTAAAATTATATATAACTTCTGGTTGCTAAATGATTTTTCATTGTGAAGCTTTAATTTACCAGGTCACTCATGTCCTTTTGTGGCATGAGCAAGCAAAACTGTAGGGAGTTGGGGACAAAAGGGATAGGGAAGGGTGAGGGTACTACACAGAATCTCAAGTTTTAAAGCTAGGTCCTGCCTGAGCTACTGGCAGCAGTAGGGTCCAAAATCCCCCACCTCTCTTAGGCTAACAGCAGCTCAGATAGCCTTCCAAGTTTGATTCTTTTTCTCCAGGGACATGTCCTATCCCTAATACTTAAGACTGTCACCTACCAATTCCTCACCCATTAAGAGTTTCCTCAGCCCCTCTGCAAGTAAGCAAGCCACCTGCCCTACTTTCCCAGATAATGGGTCACAGTTAAACTGGCTGTTGGGCTGGGATGTAGCTCAGTGGGGTGCCTATCCCTGGTTTGGGGGGGGCATGACTGACTGGTTGTCAAATGCTCTCACCTCTGTCAGCCAGGGTCCCTAAGAGGCGCCTACGCAGAAAAACTTATCAGGGTTTCAAGGAAGTTTCTCAGTGGGGAAGTACTTACTACTCTTCCCTAGACAACCATACTGTGACGTTAGGTGATTTTATAACTGGGTAGAGGGGTCCAGCCAATAGGGCATTCCAGCTCCGGACCTCTGTCCAGGAGACAGGTTGTGGCCAAAGGAGAAGATTCAAAGGTCCAAAGGAAGTGGTGCTAGTGCCCACACAAGGCTAGCGACGTCTAGCAACTGAATCCCAAGGAGTTCAACTTTTCCAGACAACTCTGCAGCTCAACAGGTCAGAGACTGACTCAGAGGATGCCCTGTAAGGTTTCGATGTGGGGACTGATGCAGGGGATGTTCTGTAAGGTTCCCATGACTTAATCCCAAGGAGTTGGCTTTACCAGGATGTCCTGGGAGACAGATCAGGAACTGACCCAGGATGTGGCCTATAAGGTTCCCATGACTTAACTCTTACTCTTCCTGCCTACCAACCCATCATGGGATATCCCTCATCCATTCCACGTGACTCCCTAGAAGAGATGGAGAAAATGGTCAGAGGTGTCTTGTGACCAAATTTTCACGGCCCTCTACCAAAAGCCTCACCTTTTCCACAGAACTAATCCCTCGAGAGCTGATGTTGCTGAGGACTTTCTCTTATCAGCAACATCCCACATACAGTAATATAAATGATCTATTTCTTGGAAGCTTTGTAGAATTAACCTATAACATCATCAAGCCTGGAGCATTAATTTGGAACACATTTTTACCTTTTCAATTCTTTGAGGTCTTGGGATGCCTGCCTTTGAAGACAATTTCAGTCATTATCTTTTGCTTTCCTATCTATAGTTCCAATTTTTGATACCGTTTTTTGATCTTTATTGGTAGACTTACTAAGTTTTTGGCTATTTTATACAGTTCTTTGAAACAATTAGCTTTTGTCTTTTGATCAAATCTAGTCTATCAGTTTTACATTTTTACTTCAATGTTTATGCCTTAAAGTATATTTTTACAAACATGTATTAGTAAAATTTTTTTAAATTTAAAAAAATTTAATCTTTAAATGTTTGCATTTTTCCCTACCTCTTTGAGTAGAATCCTTAATCAAGAAACAATAAAAATAAATGCATTTCTTTGAAAAACATTTTAAGTCTATACATTTTCTTCTAAGAAATATTTTACATTCCAAAACTTCATTTATTGTGTACTTATTATATTTTCCTATTAGCCTGTAAATTCATTTAAAATATCCTTTTACATACTTTTCCAAAAAATAATTCTTTAGTTGCATTTCCAAGTGCTGAAAAAGGGCTGGAGGAAATAGGTATCTTTATGTGGTTAATTCTAGATTTGTTCCACTGTAATTAAGGGATAGGGCCCATGTCTCTTCTTTTTTGGTTCCTCCAGATTTTCTGTTCCTGGTGATCAATATCTGCAAACACTCCAAGGGATTTGTAAAACAACTTTTCTGGCCACAAGGTAAAACAGTTTGTGAAATTTAAACACGTGTGTCTTATTCATATACTTATACTTTTCCTAAGCCTGGTTTTTGAGATTTCTGGGCAATTCTATGAGTTACCCATTAGCCCTTAAATTCATTTCCTTTCTGTTTAAAACCAGGTCAGTTCATTTTGCTTGTATCTTAGAAATCTAACCAGTATATCCTAATCTTGAGCTCTTTACTTCATTTGGCTTAATACTTCCTCCAATACTTTTCTCAAAAGGGAAATAAGTGATTATACATTGTTTCCTTACACCATGCCAAATGAATGATGCTTTAGAATAGAATTATTTTCTCCTCTCTACCATTTACAAACCTTTTGCTATTATGTTCTGCAGATTAAAAAAATGTATTATTTCTTGCAATTCTAGGGGTCAAATAGTGGTTCTTCTGATCTGGGCTAGCTTGGGTAATCTGTTTTCAGCTGGTTGTTGGGTCAGAGCTGGATGTTCTAGAATGGCCTTGTTCACCTATCTGGTGGATCTCATGGATGTCAGCTATCCCAAATGGTCTCTAACCTTCTTTTCATGGCTATAGAAGGGTTCCCAGGGACAAAAGAGGGCAAGTCTCTTTTTCAATCCTATGCTCAGATTAAATTTGCTAATGCCCACCTCACCCCACAGGCTGAAACCACCAAACCAGAGTCACACTCATATTACAAGGAGGGAATAACAGACTCGCCTTTTTAATTTATTCCTTTCCCAGGGCTGGGTATTGAATCCGGACCTTGCATGCCTGTATGTCTTACATCCCCAGTCCCCAGCGGTCACCTCTTGATAGGAGGAACTAAAGTCACATTGAAAAGGGTTATAGGTATAGGCATGGAAATAATTTATGGCCTTTTTTTGTTATATGCTTTTCTTATGTTTTGATTTTATTGTGGTGAAATGCACATAACATAAAATTTACCAGTGGTAACATTTAGTACATTCACAATACTGTGCTATCATCATCACTATTTAGTTCCAGAACACTTTTATTACCCAATTATAAATTTTCATTATCTGGAGAGGAAAAATATCACTAAGATATATCTAAGGGAAGAAAATCTTAGTGCATTAAGCAGGCTTGGCACTCAGGGTAACTAAATCTGAAAGCGTACTTTTTTTTAAAAAGCTCAAATAAGTTTTCTTCTGTTACTCTTTGATTCCTGCTTTTCCTCCACCTGCTCCTTCTGGAAGTCTGACTTCCTATTAGTACTGCTGTTAGATCTGCATGTCTTGTCTTTTATTGTTTCATTGAATGGCTTTCTTTTCTTTGCATTTTTGTTTTGTATCATGAGGATGTTTCCCGTTTAATATTCTTTAGTTTGAATTTTAGAAGTATTTACTGTTTTTCCATTTGATTAAATATAAAAAAAAAGAAAATCATGTTTTCTTTCCCTCTCTCAAATACATCATTTTCTATTTTTAAATTCCCTACCACTAGGGCAAGCCATTTCTTACATTAAATTAGCCCACAGAAGCCATTCACTTTGGCTGACTTGACTTTTTATTCCCCCAACTATTGGATTTCCTTGAACTTTAGTCTTTTGCTCAATTCAGTCAGCATCTATAGGTTTCACTAGCAGTTGTGGAAGTCAGATTGTTGGGACTTTTTGAGCAACAGAAAATTGAGAGGTGGTGAAAATTAAGACAGGAGTTTCCCAACTGGCCTGTAATGACAGCCAGGCTTGGGGCTACACAGAAAGCAGGTAGAAACAGTTTCATAGTTCCTGAGGCAACTAGTCTGAGCTGCTGTATTTATCCTACACTTAGCCACAGGATCATACTCCTTTCTTGGCTCCTGAGCTATCATCCTCCCTTGCCCAATGTAAACAATGATGTCAGAAAGTATCCAGAGGTAAAACTCCAAAATATTCTCAGAAGACCAAAGCCTAAGATGGGCTTAGCACAAACTCATACCAGGCTATGTACTATACTTTATCCCATCACATCTACTCTCTGTTTTTTATCCACATTTCTTTGTAGATCAATCAGTTCAGTAGGAAATTTAGAGTGCCAGGGAGTTAGGAAAATATACCTAACCCATCATCTTCCAAAAATTTCTTTAAAATTATTCCTTCCTTTATATACATTGTATGAGAATATTTATGAAGGGGAAATCAAATATCTGAAATAGAAGGCTTACTGATGAACCTTAAACTGTAGCCCAGAGAGATTGAGTCTCCTCCCAGATTGTCTCTGTTACCTAGACAGGATAAGGGACTGGCCTTCAAGGGCCTCATGCATTCAGAGAAGGGGCTTTTGAAAGAGGAATGGACGATGAGGGCACTACAACTGACTTGCTGTTAGGAGGTGGGACCTGGCTGGGGGAGGTGACCACTGTGAGCATGTCCTGGACAGATGTACACATCTCCCTCTCAGCTCCTGCCTTTGTTCTCTGCTTCATGGCTGCCAGAACATGGGGGGCTTTCCTCCACCGAGCCCCTTCCACCATGCTATTTTCTTATTTAAACATGCTGAACATAGACTGAAACTTTTAAAGCTGTGAGCCAAAATAAACCTCTCTGTAGCTTATGGGGTTGGAGATTGTGTCCCAGCAACAAGAAAGTGACTAAGATGTATGGTGCTCTTTTCACTGTTGACCCATGGCTACCTTTTTAAAATTACCTCAGTATGTTCACATGCACAGCTGTTCCCCTTCCTATTCCATCTAGTCCAATTCCTTTTCTGAATACTAGAACAAGTCTCATTTTTACCCTTTTGGTTGCCTAATTCTTCTCTGAAATTCTTTCCTTCCTTTTCACCTGCCTTCCAGGTTCACTCTGTGCTCAAAAGTGAGTGTGCACAGGACAGAGTACAGCACACAAAGCAGAGAGACAGGAGGCCTGCAAAATTCTCAAGTATCTCCATGTGCCCTCGACCAGCCTGTGCCTTTGTATCATCAACACTCCTCAACTTGCCATTGGGTAAAAAATCTTAGTCTTGACTAGATCCCCAGGCCTCTCTTATTTCCTTGATTCCAATTTTCTTTGCTCCTTGCTTTCCTAGTATTCCAATCTTCTTCCCTTTTCTTTAAGCCCTGTAAGAGTAGGAAAACGTAATTACAAAGATCTGGATGTTCATTCATTGCCACTAAGAATCATCTCACAGTGGAAAGAATATCACACTCAAGAAAATTCTGATAGACTTTCCCTGCTTCTTTCTCATCACCACATAAAACATTATTTTATTAACTGCTTCAAAATTGAGATCTATATCATTTCCTTGATTACCATCATAATTTATAACCAAGGATTATATTTTCTAGTGCAAAACAGCATATTTGACAACATGGAAAGGCAGCCAAGTATAGCATAATTTGATTATATGCATTCCAATCCCAATTCCTTCATGTACCAGAGGTACTATGTGCCTTAGGCAAGTATATACATGATCTCAGGGTTGTTTTTAAATCAGCAACAGATTTTAGCATATCATAAGTACTCAGATAAAAATAAATATTCAGGGGCCGGGGATTTAGCTCAGTGGTTCCAGCGCCTGCCTCACAAGCGCAAGGTCCTGAGTTTGATCCCCGGTACCAAAAACACACACACAAAAAAAACAAAAAAAAATTCATGTTTATCATATATCATACCACCAATAGACACAATCTGTATTTCTTCCCCTTGATACATAAAACTCATTTAAAAGGCCATTTTATGTTTTGAAAAATGTTGATATAGCATTTACTGCATTTGATGCTTCCCAGGCAAATATAAATCTCTCTAAGCCACTCTTTTTTTTTTGATACCAGGGATCGAACTCAGGTTTTTGTGCTTGCGCAGCAGGCGGCAAAACCACTGAGCTAAATCCCTGGCCCTGGTCTAAGCCACTCTTAAATGTTACTCCTAGAAAATGTTCTAGTGGACAATGTCTTAAAGGTTAAGTGAGGATACTTATCCCCATGCTTTTAAAAAAATAATAAACAATGAGGATTTTAAAATAAACCAGAAAGTTGATATTTCTTACCAAGACAATTTGAAGCATCAACTTGTTCTTTCAAAAAATCAACACACATTTTCTTCACAGGTTCAATCTGATACTGGTTTGCTGCATCTAACAAAGACTGAACATTGTTGCTATTCACAGAAATTCTGCAAATAAATTAAAGTGAATATTAATGTCCCCAAATTATTATTTTAAAAAATTACTGTAGAATGTACTCTCTCATGGCGCAGGACTCTCCAATTCCATCCTTAGAGTTTTTTGCTCTGAAACATCTGGAGCACACCAATTTGCTACAATGCTTTGCTACCATAGCCCACTCCTCTAAAATAGAAATGATTCTTCTAAACTTACCTAGCAGTATAAGCAAATTCCACAAGTTGTTCAATAATATCTGGTTCAGCATCTTTAAGTTCTACTTCAAAAGACTTTGACTCAAGCATGTTAGCTAAAATGAAGAAGAGAAATAGAAATGGCATCAGCAGCACCCTGAGTTTAACTGAGGAACCAGAATATTCCAGGGTATGTTAAATATGGAGACTAGATTTAGGTTCTCCCTACTCCTAAAATAGTTTAGCAGCATTCTTAAACTGTGATGAGCAAAATGGTTGATATAGCTGGAATAAACTTGTGAGAACAATGATAATCATGTAGTCATCTATTGCTTGCCAGACTCTCATTTCTCCTAAATATCCTGGTGGGTAGCTAGAACAACAAAGGGAAAACTGGAGGCAGATACATTATTAAATTTGATTAAGATCATAAAACTGAGGCTGGGGATTTAGCTCAGTGGTTCCACCGCCTGCCTCACAAGCGGAAGTTCCTGAGTTCGATCTCCGGTACAAATAAAAAACACACACCCACATACACACAAAAACAAACAAACAAACAAAAAATCATAAAACTGTACTAAGTAGAAGAACCAGGACTTGGACTCAGTTCTCAATTCCAAATATAAGGTTCTTTTCACTACAATAGCTATATTTTATCTTTTACCTTCTCCTTTTAGTATAACCTGCTAGATATACTGTCATGAAATAGATCTGCTCGTCTGCCTTTCTACTTGAGGTTAAAAAGGGAAAAAACCATGGGTAGGGTGGTATTCAAGTAGAAGCTATATTTTCATCACCAAAGGCATCGGGCCCTTAGTGCTAATGAAAGGACATTTCTTTTCCTTTGACCAGTCATCACTTGACCACTTTGCTGTTCTACAGCCTTAAATTCTAAAGTGCTTTAGAAACTAGGAAAAATGACATATATTAGATCTCATCTAATTCTTATAGAGAAAAATAAGGTTTTATGTTAAGATACTTACTTGTGAACATTAAGTTAAAAAAATGACTGGCTGCAGCAAGGACAACACGATGAGCAGGTATCTTTCTCTCCTGGACCATGAGGATCACATCACACAGTGTTTTCTAATGGAAAGAAAAATGCATAAAATTAGAAGGGGCTTACTAGGCCTACCTTAGTAATGCATACACAGGTGCTTACCAAATGCCTTATCTCTATTTTCCACTTAAATCCATTCTTTTTCTAGCACGGAATTTGTTTATGTAAGATATGTTCAGAAAGGATTTAGAGTTGCTATCAAAATTTGGCACTGAGCTTTCCAATAGTAAAGAGGAAAAAAAATTCCTCATAATCAGCAACAAAGAAGTTTACTAATCCCTCAAGGGTTTTTTTTTTTCCCTGACACAAATCCCAAGATATTTCTCAGAGTGAGTTTTTCTGCGGGAAATTAAATGACATAATGGCAATGGCTTGACAATTTTTCAAACACAGCTATCTTTTTATATGATTTGTCCCAATTATCTTTGATAAACTCCAGAGCACAAACTGTATCTCCTAAGAAAGTAGCCCTCATAGATCTAACTTGAAATAAAACAGTGCAGATACACAGAGCAGATGAACCAAATGTTCCCCCAGCAATCTTTCCTTAAATAACTCTTCTCTCAAACACACTTCTGACAGAAACTGGATAGCAGCCAGTTTTAAATTTTGATTTTCTGACCATAGCCAAAATGGTGTCACTGTATGCTGCTGGAAAAAAGCAGATATAGAATAAGCAATTAAAATGTTGGAAAAAATAAACTATTTTTTAAAATTAAGATTTACTATAACTTGGGGGGGGGTGTACCAGGGATTGAACTCAGGACCTTGCACTTGCCAGGCATGCACAGCACCACTAAGCTATGTCCCTGGCCCCTTTATATAACTTTTATAGATGATTTTCAAGGAAAAATAAATGTCCTTTTCAAAAATCAATTAAAATTTCAATTTCTTAATGGAGCTAAAGTAACAACCTATATAGGTTAGCCAGGTACAGAAACTTTGGTGCCCACAATGTATTAAGTACTCTTCTAGGTACTGGGAATATGAGGGTATGAATATACTCAGAGTAAAAAACAAAAACCTATCCATTATATATGTGAATAATGGCTTAGTAGTTCACAGGACATGTCTTTTGCAAATTTTAAGTATTTTGCTAAAATACCTAAATATTTTACTTAAATAGTTGCTATTTCTTTTGTGAATAAAATCCAATTAAGATGGTAATGCTTGGTCAGGGATTTAGCTCCTGGTTTCGCCACCTGCTGCGCAAGCGCAAGGACCCGAGTTCGATCCCCGGTACCAAAAAAAAAAAAAGATGGTAATGTTTAAAGGCTGGGGATTTAGCTCAGTGGTTCCACCGCCTACCTTGCAAGTGCGAGAACCCGAGCTCAAGCTCTGGTACCAAAAAAATAAATAAATAAAAATATGATCTCAAAAGATGGTAATGCTTAGAGTAAGAAAGGAAGTAGGCCTGCAAGTAACTAGCTAAAAGATGCATAAAATATCACTTTTACAGAGTATTTGAAGATTTAAACAAATAAGGTCTATAGGTTAGGGCAGTGATAGTGAACCTTTTGGAGCTTTCAATGATAAACAGCCAGCTGCAGAAAGCTTGCTGTCGGTTCGCTACCACTGGGTTAGGGCTAGAAATTATATGCAGATTGATAATAGCTAATAATTACATGCACATTTTGCTAGTAAAACCTCCACAGTATGCTGAGTTTTAAAACTTTTATTTCTTTTAAATTGGGAAAGGGTGCAGCGTAGGCTCTCTGATTATTCTGTCATATAGCACACCAAAAAATATAAAGCAGCAAAATCAAGCTAACTATTTGGTTATCACCAAAACAAACTAATCAAGTTTTTAAAGTTTTGTACCCAGGGAGGGTACAAGGGCAGCTGCAGGAACTGGAAAGAGAAAATGGATAGAATAACAAGCAAATCAGATCATATCACATCGCAGATTTCTTATAGGGGAGGAATCTACAACTACTGATGGAAACTCTGAGAAAACAAGGGGCTCAACCCAAATAGCGCAAAAACACTTCCAAGACATACTCAGAAATCAGGGATTTATAAGTCAAATGAATTTACACACAACACATTCAAGAATTTGGAGAAATGGATATCTTTATATGGCAATTGAATTTTGGTCTAATACTACTCTGCAGTTGGCTATTAATGTTATATGTGTGGGGGTGAAGTGGGAGGGGTCATTTGTGTCCAAATGGTACATTCATTTGCATATACGTACCAGAATTTTCTAGTAAGTTTTCGACAAGAGATGAGACTGACCTAGAAAGAGTGGTTCTCCTCTGCTACTAATTAGCTAAGGAAGAAGTATACCTAGACAATGAGAAAAGACAGAAACCCAGGTAATTTGGAGGATGTGACAGGCAAGAAGTTCTAGGTGAGTTAAAGAGTAAGAAACTAAAAAACCCTAAGTTTGAATAATACATGTTTACCGGTTAAATGTAAGCAAAATTACCTTGCAATTCATGACTCCCTATATGTATTATATCTTTGCATTTTTAAAATTCTCAGCTTTCTGAATCTTCAGTCTCTTGTAAAAGGCACAGACTTTGTATGAGTGCTATGGTTTGAATGTCCCCTCCAAATCTCCTGTTGAAATTTAATTGCTACTGTGATGGTATTAAGAGGTGGGAACTTTAAGACATGATTAGGTTATGAGGGCTCTCCTCTTATGAGTGGATTAATACTTATGATGGCTAATCTTTGGCTGTGAACTTGATTGGCTTGAGAGATGCGCAGGAGATTAGTAAAACACACTTCTGGGTATTTGGGTGTGCCATAGGGAGTCCTTGGGGACTCTCTGCTGTCTGATCTCTTCTTCCCTAGCTCTTCCCCTGCTCTCTGCTCCTGAATGCCATGAGTTGAGCAGTTTTCCTCTGCCATGTCCTTCTGCTATGTTTCTGCCTTGGAGCCAGCCAACTCTGGACAGAAACGTCTGAAACCATGAGCCAAAATAAACCCTGTCTTTTAAGTTGTGTATGTCAAGTATTTTGTTCTAGCAGTGGAAAGCTGATTAATACAGAAAACTGGCACCAGGAGTTGGGGGTGCCCGTGCCCTCTGAAGCTCACATCTTGCCACAATGTGCCCCAGATGCCAGACATGGAGTACAGGGCTGAATATTTGCCCTGGTGAGTTTCAGTCTTGCTTTGGTCTGATTCTTTTCAATCTTTCTATTCTTCCTTTTGGAATGGAAATGTTTACCCTGTGCCACTGTATACTGGGAACACGTTACTTGCTTTTTGATTTTTACAGGGGCCCACAGCTAGAGTTTGCCTGCAGCCTCAGAGGAGACTTTGTGGAAAGAACTAGTGCTTTTGTTTGTATGCAGGACAGTTACATCATGTTTGGTAGAATTATTACCTTGTTATCTCTATTTGCACATTAGGTAGGGTTTAAGATTTGGTTATCAAGTTGACAAAGGGTGGATCTGTGATGAGTAATCTTGATTATGAACTTGACTGGCTTGAGAGGTACCTAGGAAGTTAGTAAAGCACATTAAGTATGTCTGGGTGTCCTGGAGACATGACCTTGGGGACCATATCTGTTCCCTGGTCCTTTTCTTTCTCTTATCCTGCTCTCTGCTTCCCAGATGCCATGAGTTGAGGATCTTTCATCTACCACATGCTTTTGCCATGTTCCTGCCTTGGAGCCAGCCAACTATGAACTGAAACTTCTGAAACCGTGACCCCAAAACAAACCACTCCTCCTTTACGTTATGTATGTCAGGTATTTTGTCCCAGCAAAGGAAAGCTATAAAGCTGTTATAGCAGGAGTGAGTTATTGTAGAAGTGGGTTCCTGAGAAAAAGAATGAGTTTGGCTAAATTTCCTGTCTTATATCCATGCCTCCTGCCTTTTACCCTGGAATAATACAACTCAAAAGACCTGGACTTTCTTCCTGCAGAACCATGAACCAAATAAATTTCTATTGTTAATAAACTACCCAGTCTCTGCTATTCTGTTACAGTAGCAGAAAACAGACTAAGACAGTGACTTAGTCACTAACATCATTTTTAATAGGGTTTAGTTTATTTTTTATTTATCTGATAACATGTTCATCTTATACCATTTTCTTTTATGCTATGTATTATGCTTCATTTTTGTCCCTTTCTTTTACTGCCAGCTAGTTGCTATTTTCAATCCTTTTACATTTTTTTCCTCCTTTATAAACTTACAGATCTGTCAAATATTTACTAATGGAATCCTGAAGGCTATTTGTCAAATATTATTCCAGGAATGCATGGAGAGTACAAGAACAATGACTCTGTTACTGTAACTATATCAAAAGGTTAAAAGAGGAAACCTTTATGTTGAAAAATTTCAAAAGATGCCAAAAGGGTACATGATAAAATTAAAAATTCATTTCCTGTTGAAACAAGGTATATACATCACTGTCACTACAATCATTCAACTATATTCTAGAAATTTTAGCCAAACAAATTAGTAAGACATAAACATAAATCAACTTAACCATTGCAGAACTAACATGAAAAGTTAGTAAGATGGCCAAATACAAGATAAACATTAAAAGACAATTTACTAACCTATACTGATTGATAAATCATAAAAGAAACACAAAATGAGAAAAGAAACTTCAAGTTATAACTGTAACAAAATAACTATCAAGAAATAAGCTGGGCATTGTGGTGTAGGTCTACAATCCTAGCACTAGGGAGGCTGAGGCAGGAGGATTCCTCCAAGTTTGAGACCAGCCTATGCTATACAGAAAGTTCAAGGCCAGCCTGAACTACATAGTGAGACCCTGTCTTTAAAAATCAAAAAAGAGGTCTGGGGATTTAGCTCAGTGGTTCTGCCGCCTGCCTCAAAAGCGCAAGGTCCCAAGTTTGATCCCCAGTATCAAAAAAATAAAAATAAAAAAAAAAAAATAAAAAAGAAAAACCCCCCCTAAGAAATGTGAGGAATTTCCACTAAGCAATAACAAAGATACCATTTAAAAAGTGTGGTACGGGGCCGGGGATTTAGCTTAGTGGTTTTGCCTCCTGCTGCGCAAGCACAAGGACCCGAGTTCGATCCCCAGTACCAAAAAAAAA